TCCAGAGGACCGTGGAGCAGCTCCCGCCGCTTCCCTAGCGCCGTATCTTTGTGGGATGGGGGTGCGTGCCTGTCCGTGTGGGGAGCATTGGCACCCGTAACTCTCTGCTTGTGATTTTCAGCTTGAATTTCAAGGACCCTGAGGCGGTGAGAGCCCTGACGTGTACCCTCTTGAAAGAGGATTTTGGTCTGACGATTGACATCCCCGTGGAAAGGCTTATTCCTACCGTGCCCTTGAGGCTGAACTACATCCACTGGGTGGAGGATCTCATCGGCCGCCAGGATGCTGGCAAGCAAGTCCTTAGGCGAGGCATCGACATAGGTACTTGGAAAAAACCAAAGTTTTTGATTCGTTATTTGCTGTCAATGAAACTAGCTGATAAAAAATGATATGCAAAGGGAAATGTCAGGTTTGAGAAACAAAAAGTTAACTGTGCTTGCCGTGGTGAAACAGGCAGTTTGACTACACTGCAGTTTCATTTGGCTTCTTGGTGGGTAGGATTTCTTTGCACAAATGCAGGAATGGCCATAGCAGGCAATTATTTGGCTTTTGGTGGCCTTGAACACTCTTGAGTGTAGCTTTGTGTGGGAAACAAAAATGATGCTGTTAGAAACACAGGCAAAAATGACATTCTAAGGGAATTAAAAAATAAAAAAGGCATTTCTTCTTCTCAGTCTTCTAACTAGTGAATTATGTTAGCAATCCATTTTGCTTTTGGATGTCTACATGAGAAAGTTTGTGAGTTGCATAGTAATATTTTTAGGAGTTTCAATAACTTTTCTGTTATTTCAGGTGTATTTCACATATGAGTGATTTGTCTTTTTTGAGCTTTGTTTTTTTTTTTTTTTTTTTTAAATACAGCTCTTTTCATGAGCTGAATTATAAAAACTGCTTAGTTGGAAACCAGGGCAAATACTAGCAAGGCTGTGTTTTGGTTGTAGTTGGTCAAAGCTTTCCTTTTGATTGTTGAAAACAAAATAATTTTTAAACTGGACTATGCATCCACAGATGAATGATACCATCCAGTGCAGTTTGTTCACTTTTCATATCTGGATTATTGAATAACATCTGGACAATATTTAAATTAAGCAGCAGATTAATGTAAACAGTTATTCAGTAGAGATGTTAATTTATAAGATATACATTGATGCACGTAATTTGGTTTTCATTAGAAATAAAAAAGGTAAGCTCTGTAGGAACAAGAAATTATATGCCACATGCAGATAATAAAATTGGAATTTGGATTCCAAATTTTTGGTGATTCTATACGAATTATTTAAAAGCCACCTGCGATAGTCCCTTTCAATTTAGTTCACAACTTTTATTTTTGTCACTAGAATCTTCTTTTATGGTTTCAAAGGCTTGTTTTTGGAGGTTGTTTTGTGCTGAAGTAAGCTCATAATGAAATTGAGAGAAGCTGGAATTTCCTTTCTAACTTGTGTTAAAACTTAAAAGTTACTGACTTCCTCAAAGCTTGGATTCAGGAATCTGTTACCATGCCAGTTTTTTCATTGCTGTTTTCTTGGTGTTTGCTAGTGTGATTTTTTTTTTTTTTCTTTTAAATGGAAATTTTGATCTCCTGAGAATTACTGACATGTATTTCTAGCTGGATTTGTGGTGGATACAAGGTTTATATAATCACATGGTACATGCACAGCTGCTTTCCTTTCGTAACTGCTTGCATTTGATACTAGTTGCATTTTTGAAAACAATTTCTATGAACTTCATCATATCTTTCGCTTTTCTTGTATCCATTCCCTGTAATTCTAGATTTGACTGTCATTGGCAATTCAATCACCTAGATATGCCATAATTATGAGGAGGAATTGCTTTGTGCTAGCGTGTATTTCTTTTTGTTACCAAGTTATCATCTGTCTGTCTTTTTAGATACCTTAATTGGCACCTCCATGTCTTTGATCATTTTGAGTACTGGGGAAAGACTGTCTTATGGAACAGAATTTTTTGTGTGGTTGCTGTATGCGTCAAAGCAAATTGTGGTAGATAATAGAAAAATGTGGAAGAAAAAGATTTTTTATGGGGTTTGGTTTTTTAAGTAAAACTAGAATATTTGGTTTTCAGTATATAATTTAATCAGACATATAGAAAAAATAGCTGAAAAAGTTGATAATTTACTAGAAAATCTATTCCAGATTATTAAATTCTTTATTAAAAGTGCATATTTGACAATGCTGTATTTCAAATAAATAAAGTTCACTAAAGAACTGAGTAGTATGTGATCGGTAATCAACATTTTCTTGAAATTAGATCTTTTTGTTGTAAAAAGTACATAGTTAACAGCCGCACTGTGTGTACCGGAGGCTTATTTTGCCTTTTGCATGGCTTTTCACTTATGCAGGGACAGGGGCATCTTGCATATATCCATTACTTGGAGCAACTTTGAATGGCTGGTATTTTCTTGCAACAGAAGTGGATGATATGTGCTTCAATTATGCCAAGAAGAACGTGGAACAGAATAACTTGTCTGATCTTATAAAAGGTATGATGTAACAAGGTATTTATGTTGTGATGTGTTTTTGTCATGTTCAGTGGCATATCAGAATCCATATTCCTGCCCAATAGACTCTCAATTGTTTTTACTGAAGCGGAATGTTTACTAAGGTCCGCGTATGCTTAAGCCAGAAAGTCACAACTTGTCTAGAATGGGATGTGTGGATAGAGAACTATTTTCCCTTGGGAATAATTGAAAGTTAAACTTCACCCTGGAGTGTTTTTCTCTCCATATTCTTTGTTACTGAAGTATTTATTGGAGTTCATGCTGCTAGTGTTGTCCTGAATCTGGGTTTTTCACCTGGTGTGCAGAAGCCAATCAACACAGAGTCGAGATACTTGCTTTTATTTCAGTTCTGGGCACAGAGGCCATCTAACACCCAGCACACCTTTTGTGAAACAAGTAGGGTCTTATATACAAAATAGCAACAAAGAAGAATCTACAGTACAATACATGATTGGTTACCTACATTTCACAGAATCACAGAATGATATGGATTGGAAGGGACCTCTGAAGATCATCCAG